TAAGGAGGTAACAACATTATAACATGACCTCAAACTCACGAAAATCCATTTTGTGTAATGTGGGACCTTTAAACCAATAGAGATTTCGAGATGTCAAATACTACGTAGCAATAGTCGGCAGTAAAATTCTCTCTCTCTTCCTTTTTCTCTCTAAATGTCATTGGTGACTCGTCTCTCTTTGGCCCCGTGCCACCGTGTACAGTCTAGTACTTCTCTGTGTATATCTGTGTACTTGTACTTTTATATTTCTGTGCTTTTGACCCTGACTTAATGCTGACTCAGTTCACGCAGCTGCTAAATAAAAACATAGAGCTGATGTTCGCGTTTGGTGGAACAAATAATTGAGTCCAAAAGGATCAGTTACTGTGGCAGAGTGGTTAGCCTGTCTCCTGCCTCCTCTCAGTAAGGAGGTTGCGGGTTAGACTCTTGATCAGTGGGTGGGCAAACGACGGCCCGGGGGCTGTATGCGGCCCTTTAAATCTTTTAATCCGGCCCGCCGAACTGGAATAAATTACAATAATAAACCTTGTTGATGTTTTATTTTTCCTGCATTTCCGGCGTTTCCCAGCAGATGGCGCACTATATATATATACATTGAGGTGCGGCGTCTTATGTTGGCCGCAGTGTTTTATGGGAAAGTGTTCTTACAGGAGTCATTTTTAGGCGGCGCATTTGGACCATGAGTGAGGTAGAAGTGTTCAAGACAACACTGCACTGTTTCCAGTTTGAGTGGGTCAGAACACTTAAGGGGCGTTCAAAGGCGTTTGCATTTGAGTTTAGACGCCCCCGACGTGCGTCTTTGTTGCTGTGGACAAACGGGACAAAAATACTTGACGCGCGTCCGTTGCCCTGGAAACAAGAGCCCGGTCCCGGTCTTTTCCCGAAACAATATCAGACCAGACTGACAGAGTGTTTTTATGACATAAAACATCAGCGGAGGAGATCGGGTCGACGACTGGGGCGTATATATATTTATACTCCGCTAATGACACTCCCGGTCTAGTCCTGGTCTAATACCGGTCTAGTCCTGGTCTAATACCGGTCTAGTCCTGGTCTAATCACGGTCTAGTCCTGGTCTAGTCTCGGTCTAGTCTCGGTCTACTCCCGGTCTAGTCCTTGTTTAGTCCCGGTCGAGTCCTGGTCCGGTCCTGGTGTAGTCCTCGCGATCGGCTCGGTGATTGTGGTGTATATATTTAATCTCCGCTCATGTTTGTGGTTCTCGTTCTGGTTCTCGGGTCTTGCTTCCTGATAATAACGTCGCTGCGTCACTGGATACTCGTCCCTGATTGGTTGACGCGGCGCGTCTGACACGAAAAGTTCAGCATTTTCAACTTCTTGACGCTGACACTTTGGACGCGCGTCTTGGCCGCTGACGCCAAAACGCTCAAGACGCGCCGCGCTGACGCCAGATTCGCGCCGCGCTGACGCCGAAAACGCGCCGCAAAAACGCAGGACGCTCTAGTCGCGCGTCCACATAGACTTTACATTGAAACTGGACGCTTTGACGCCCTGGTGTGAACGGGCCTTTACAGATTCTGTGTTACAAATCTTAATGCACGGAACGTCTGAAGAGTCTGGTTCTACTGCACATGTAGGTGTTTATGTGCGTGTTCTTGTGGCGTTGGCTCTGTTTCTAAATGAGATCTCGCTGCTCAGGACTCACTCTCCCCTGTGGTGTGGAGCAGATCTATTCACTTTAAATGAATCCTGAAACTAACGTGACAAAGTTGTAGTGTGTAGTGCAGAATATGTTCTACATGAACGTAAAGACGAGTGCAATGGAGCCGAGCTCTTAACACATCATGTCCTGTCTCCTGTCCGGTCCTTCAGTCAAATTTTAGGACCCTATGTGGCCCCCAAGCCAAAAAGTTTGCCCACCCCTGCTCTTGATCTTAAAAAAAAGCAAAAAAGCTTGGCCAAAATTTAAGATAGAAACACTTAAATCCTTCAGAAAATGACTTAAAAATAGAGAAATTATCTGTCCATGCAGTGAGATAATTTTACTTAACAAGTTATCTTAAAATAAAGTACCTCTAGATAAGAATGAAGCACTAAGTCAGAACAAGTAAGTGGATAATAAATCTGAAAAATAACCTGATAAAAGTTTTAAAATCTTGGCCAGATCAGAGAAATTTGCAGTGTTCCTTCCTTGTGCAGTGGTGAAAAAAGTACTCAGGGGCATAAATTAAGTACAAGTATCACAAAAACTCGAGGTACTTAAGTAAAAGTACAGACGTAACTGTAAAAAAAAAAGTTAAAATACTTGCAGAGAGATTTTGAGATCTGTTTAAGTATCAAATGTAGTGATACTTAGGGGGGGTTAGTTGAAGAGGCGGGATCAAGTCGTTGTTTTGCAAGTCTCAAGTCTCAAGTCTTTGACCTCAAGTCCGAGTCAAGTCCCAAGTCGTCTGCTTTGAGCTTCAAGTCATTTCAAGTCTTTAGATTTTTGCAGTATTAGTGTGAATCATTACGATCAGAATTAGGGATGTAACAATGTTCAAATCTTACGGTACGATATTATCACAACATGTCTCCGCTCAATTTCATTTCTTTCCAGCAACTAGGTCAAGAATCAGAAAAAAAACCCCGGAAGTGTGAGTTCGGGCACCAGCCAATCAGCGAAGAGTGATATATTCAGTGTTGTCAACGATTCCTGAGATCGAGGATTTAAAGCCGGAATAAATAAAGAGAATGTTTGGTGAATTTCATCAAGGGGAAAGATGTTACTGTCCTTCTTTCGACAGGACAGTTTGCCCCGTTAACGGCACATTACATACGTCAAGACCAAATAGCAGCGATTGGTTAAATGATAAAAAGTACCCGCCTACTGTCGAGTGAACGAAATCTAACACTGTGAGGTCAGACGGTTTCTACAAAGTGAAATGAAGTAAAAGGCTCTCTCACGGTACGATATTTATTGTGATATTTTGGAGAGATTAACAGAATTGTACATATGCTATTTTTGTCCTTTTTAAATACCTTGACCAGTCTTCAGTGTGAATCATTACTGTTATATTCCAAAGAAATAACATTTAATTTAAGTAAAGGATCATGGCCTATACAGTTCCCTCTTTTTTTTTATCACTTTTAGGTAAAAAACCTTGCAATTCGATATTTTGTGATGGTCCACGATATTATTGTGAGTGTTTTGAGGATACGATATAGTGATATTTCAGTTATTGTTACATCCCTAGTCAGAATAGAAAGAATTCAGATTTAAAAGTGCTTAATAACAGTTATGTATTTTACTGTAGTACAGTCGAGGTACCATCTCACAGTACTTCAGTTTCATCCAAAGCACCAAACAAAAGTGGAAGGGACATTTTGTTCCTGTAAAATTCAGCACAGCATTTATCAGCTGTAAAGAGAAAAGTATTTTCTAAAACCTCATCGAGTCACAGGCCTCAAGTCCAAGTCGAGTTCCAAGAAACTGATCTTCAAGTCCAAGTCGAGTCCCAAGTCTTCGTCTATTTTATCAAGTCAAGTCTCAAGTCCTAAAAATAGTGACTCAAGTCTGACTCGAGTCCCCACCTCTGATTATTTGTATATTTTTCTTTAGTCAATGAAACCTTCAGCCATTACAGTAAATCTCTCTGGGTTAGTTAAATAGAAATCCTCTTTTGAATCCTGTATACCTACTCTACCTATAAAGTAGAAAGTGCCTGCTCTAAAATGAATTGAAGTAACTAAAAAGTATTTCCTTTTTGGTCACGTTTGCCTTATTCTCTGTGGCTTTGTTCTCATTATAAGCTCCTCTTGGCTTCCTCGAGTGTTATTTCAGTCTCTTGTTCTGCTGACAGCTCAGTTAAACTACATTTCCTCTCATGTTACTGTGAGCAGACCTTTTATCATTAGGACCCCATCTGAACCCAGCCACAGTGGAAATGTCACTAACTGATTCTCTTCAAACTCCTCCTGAGCTCTGCAGTCTGGGGCCGCGGGGCCGGACCTGCTCTGTGTTCTATATTTTAAGCAGAATTAAAGTATGTTTGTGTGTCGCTGCACCATACGGACACAACCTTTGATCGTTTCTCCGTGGGGGAGCGGAGATTCTGTGCCGGCAAAAGGTGAAAGTGAGGACCGGGGTGTGATGATCGTAGTTTTGCAGGATTCACGTGGTTCGGAGGGACGTAGTCAAGGCGGGAGGCAACTGTTGTCAAGGCGGCCACCCTAACTATAAAGCACAGTGGGAAACATTGGTGTTTTTAACTTTAGTTCCTCGGGTCAGGGATTTCATCGCTTTGGGCTCTGATAGAAAAGAAAAGATATTACTTCAAAAGAATAATTTATTTTCTATAATGAAAAGATGATTCAAGATTTGTTCACATTTGTATTTGTGTTGTCACAATACCAGAGGTGGGGGCTTGCAAGTCGTGACTTGAACTTAAGTCAAGACTTGAGTCACTATTTTTAGGACTTGAGACTTGAGTTGATAAAATGGACTAAGACCTGAGACTCGACTTGGACTTGAAGGTCAGAGACTTGGGACTTGACTCGGACTTGAGGCCTGTGAGAAGCACTTTTAAATCTGAATTCTTTCTATTCTGACCGTAATGATTCACACTATGATCTTGTCAAGAAATTTAAAAAGGAAAAATTAACATTTCTACAACTCTTACATACTCTATAAATACTCATGTATAAACATGCTATGATTTTTAAGTACAGTTTATCTTAAAAGTCATAAAAATGGCAAAAATCTAGTTTAAAGACTTCAAATTACTTTGAAGCTTGGACTTATGGGCCAGGGACACAAGACTCGACTTGGACTTGCCTGTATTTGACTTGGGACTTGACTCGGACTTGAGGTCAAAGACTTGAGACTTACTTGAGACTTGCAAAACAACGACTTGGTCCCACCTCTGCACGATACTAATGATTTCAATATTTAGAAATACCGTAAAATAAAAGTAAACACAACAGCCGCCTGTCACTCCGTTGCCATGGAAGCACTAAACAAACCTGATCAAAAGAAAACACTACGAATACGGCGACTTTTTAAACACACTGAACTAAGTAAAAACACTCTTATTATTTAAAGACTATTTGGCACAAAGGAGAAGACAAACGACATGATTCTGGTTTATTTTGGAGCTTTTTGGTATAAGGATGACGCCAGAGTTTGAGACTGAACGAGCGACCGAAACCCTGCTCGATTCTGACCGCACACTTCCCAAACTAGAAGAACTCCCTGCGGCAGACGAGGAGCCGGGACTGGACAAAGGAGAGTCCACTTTCGAAGACCCCGAGGTGGAGGCGATCGTGGCCTGTGTGAAAGCGATGGACGGAGAGACCGAGAAGCTGGTGGAGATGATGAAACGCGGGAAAAAAGAGGTGGAAGCAGACGCCAGATCCATTTATGTTGGGAACGTGGATTACGGTATCACTGCGGCAGAGCTCATGGTCCACTTTCGCCGCTGCGGTTCGGTCAACAGAGTGACTATTTTAAGTGACAAAAACACGGGGCATCCTAGAGGTTTCGCGTTTGTTGAATTCAAGAAGAAAGCGTCTGTTCGCACGGCCCTGGCGCTTGGATCAGTCCGTGCTCAGAGGAAGGCACTTGAGGGTCTGTGTGAAGTTGGGATGAAAAGAAAGATCTAATACGGCTTCAGTCCAAACCTGGAGACTTGCCTGAGCTCCATCAACCTTCTCTCCTGTTCTTGTTGTGTTCTAAATAAACGTTTTGTTCATTAGCATCAGGTCTTTCTTCATGCTTTATTAAGTGTAACAAAAGTTTCTATATTACGCAAAAATGGACTCTTGTGAGTTTTAAATCGTGTTATAATGTTGTTACCTAATCAAAAACAGACCTGGAGTTGTGTTTTGTTGCATTCACATTTGTCTGCGTTAACTTTTATTATTACGGTGTGTTTCTTTATCCACTGACACGAACAGGGAAGACTTGAGCAAGGTTTCCCAGATAGAATCCAGTGTCATTTTTAAGTATGAACTGGGTCCAGTCAAGAGGTAACGGAGGGAAACAGGGGCAGATTTTTTACATTCAAATGTCTCTTATTCAGAAACTAGAGGGACTATTGAAATAAGTAAAGTATCAGAATGTAGGAAAGAGTTACACTCCAACAGGGTCAAGTTAAACCTGTGATATTCTTTCAAGTTGTTTGACAAAAAATTTAAAAAACTCATGTCAGGTAACGGAGGGAATGAAATATGCAGCACTTTTTGGGCAATAAATACAAACAGTGATAACTCTTGGTTCTCACTTACATATCCTTAACAAACTGGTTTGAATATTTGCTTCATATAGTTTTCTACCATATGGTACAAGATTAGGTTGAAAAACCTCTTACTTTTTGAGTCATGAGATTTTTTATTAAGAAAGGTCATGGTAACGGAGGGAAAAGTAACGGAGGGAAAATTGTGCAAACAAGTAGAAGGTGCAGGATTTTGCATAATTTGTCGCTTTTTTCTTCCGAAAACTTTAATATTACTTCAAAATGAAAGGAAACTATTTCTATAAAATATGTCAGTCCTTCCAAGCAAATTTTTATCATTTTAAATATTTTTTAATTTTTTTTTAAAATCATGTACCTTCATCAACAGTTCAAAGATGGAATAACACAAGATATGATGAAATACATCCATTTATTTACATGATTTTCAGGTCTTTGAAATTTGGGAAATAATTTTTGTTCCATGTTTCATACATGGTCTGTTTAAAACATATGTAACTTTAGAACCAAAAATGGTACAGAAAAAAGGTCAACAGTTTCATAAACTAGAGTACATATGTATCTGTTCAATACATTTTTATATCAGATGCATTAACTTGAATTTTTGTTCTTGCTGTTTACTTCTGCTTGACCGGACCCAACTGTTTTCATTGTGTTTGGACGCTTTGGTCATTTAAAAGACAATTTCAGTCACTCCTATTACTGCAATACCTTACTGCATCCGTATCACTGGGTATGGGAGTCGGTTTCACCCTTGTTTTTAGTCTATTTCCTGCAAGCTAACATGCCAAAATGACCGATTACTATGCAACACCAATGCTTTCACTTCACTAATCTACTGAGGCCACATCCACACTAATTCATATTCGAGTCGTTTTTGTTGTGGATGCAGTGTTCGTCCACACTAATCCGACTGAAAACCGCTCTAGAACCTGAACGATCTGGTGCTGCCAGCTCCCACGAATACATCTGAGTACGGATCTGATCTGAAAACGTTGATGTAGGTCTATGTGCCGTGAAGAAATTCCCCCGCCAAAACGCTAAGAGGCTAGAATATATGTCCATTCATATATACAGTCTATGTGTACGACCTGCAGACGTATAATCTCTGAAAAGTTTCACATGAACCATCTCCAACACGATAGAAACACACAACAGACTCACCATCAGCAGAACACCCCTCTGTCACTGAAAGAACACTCATATTTCACTAAGTCGTGTCCTTTAGTCCGACAGAAGCTGAACCGCATCAGCGCACAAGAAGCGATCTGTTTTTTTGAGCTCTCAGTTTATGCAAATTAGTCATGTGGTTTTAAGTTTTGTTCCTGTAAAACGTAAACAAATATGCTCAAAGCTGCGTGGATACGGTTTGTTTCAGTGTAAACGTAGCCTGAATTCTACTATTTATTCTTCCTCGAGGTTGTGTAGTTGAAGCACAGACTTATTTTCGCAGTGGTACTCGGCCGGTGGTAAAGCAACAACACGTTTTTGTTTGGCGTCCACGTTTTTCTCCGAGTCGGACACACGAAACATAATTAAACGGTTGAGGCGTGGACGTGGCGTCGTATCCGAGATCCAAGCGGGAGACGGATGGATGAACGAACGCAGCATTAGTCTGTTCTACATCTCGAAAGCTCAAAATACTTTGTTCCACTTTGTGACGTTCGAAGCCGTAGTTTTCAAGTTAACGACTCCTTTTACCTTTTGACGAGATTGACAATTCCAGATTTGACCTGAGTGAAAAAAGGCCAGTTATAAGTAACGTGGACCACAATTATGTCAGATTACGTCTCTCTGGCAGCAAACTATGGACAGTGGATCATTGGAGCATCTCAGTATGCAAAACTTTCTCCAGCTAAACTTGACAAGACTGAAGTCATAGTGTTTCCACAGCAAAGGACAGTGTCAGCAGTCATAGTCTCTCTCTAAAACCTTCAAATCAGGCAAGAAATTAATAATGGACAGACTTGAACTTTAACAGTGCAGCCTTTAATCTAAAACATAGCAAAATCAAAGGTTTACTGTCTAAATCAGACTTGGAGAAACTTATCCATGCGTTTGTCTCCAGTAGGTTAGATACTGTAATGTTCTGCTCACTGGTCTCTCCAAACAGCTGTGAACGCTGCAGAACATCCAGAACGTGCAGCTCGGGTTTATCGAACTAGGAAGTACGAGCAATAAGTCCTGTGCTCAGGTCTCTGCTCTGGCTCCTGTGCCTCAGAGACTTTAAAGCAGCTCTGCTTGTACAAGTGTCTCCATGGCCGAGCACAAAGTCCATCTGTGACATGTTAGTGTCATATGAACATCTCACACTCTGAGGAGCTCAGGGAGCCTCCTGCTGGTGCCCAGAGTCACGACTAAACAAGGGAGTTTTCAGGTTCATGCAGCTAAACCTGGAACAGTCTGAACATGTGAACAGACTCTTCTGTGACGTGTTTAAATCCAGACTCAAAACATTTCTGTTTAACTGTCAATTGAAAGGTTTTCATTCTGACTCTTCTCTCCAATTTATGTCTCTTTTTTTTAATTTTAATCTTCATGATTATTTATGTTTTGATTTGTTTTTATTTGATTTTAATGTATTTCTTATTCTGTAAAGCACTTTGAATTACTTTGTGTAAAAAAATACTTTTTGACGAGATTGACAATTCCAGATTTGAAGTGACCAAAATGTATGGAGTTTTAAAACACAATGGAGCACTTCCTGTATTACCAGTGTAGCCTAAATATGCAGGATTGGTGCAGTTAAACACGTGTGAATGAAACAAAACAAAACCTCCAGGTGGGTTTGTGATGAAGAAACAACATTATAACATGGATCAGAGCCCTTTAAGACGTAGTTTTTGTGCCTTAAAATGGGTAAATTTGAGTCTTTAGTGTCACAAAAATTGAAAAAATAATACTAATAAAAAGTTTGGTGACTGAGAAAACAACAATTTACTTCTATTATCACCAATAAACTCTTTCTTTCTCTTTCACTATCTATCTCTCTATTTATTTTTCTCTCACCCCCTCCTCTCTTTCACTTTCTCTCTAATCTCAGCGTTGTCCTCCTCTGTCTGATTTATCCTCTCTCCCTCTTGCTTTCTGTTTCTCTCTCAGATCTGTGGAGTTGTCGCGTACAGTTTTGTGTCGTGTTTTTGTATATTTATGGAGAACAGTCGTGTAGGAGCATGGGTAATGTCGTTTTTTGGGATGAGTTTCGGACAGTTCGAATAAGGGAGAGATCGCTAGATTATCAAACATGGATGACGTACGAAACCACTCGGGATGTTTTTGATGACGGGAAAATGTTACAACATGATAGAAAAGCCCCAAAAAGTCGAATTAAACCGCGATAACGATACAATATTTTAATGTATGTATTTATTTATTTCAAACAAGGACACTGCGCAACTTTTCTGTTTTTGCTTTGCCTGGAATGTTCCATAGTATGACATTATCCATCCAGTGTTTATTCATTACGGGTGTTTCTGTTGCTCAAAAATGCAATAATTCCTGCTGTAAACTGAGGCGACTCTTCATAGATCTGAACTGTAATGTAGACAGTGTTGGGAAGGTGACTTTAAAATGTAATCCCCTACAGATTACAGATTACATACCCCAAAATGTAGTTTGTAACGTAATCCATTAAATTACTTAAAGTGAGTAACGTAATCTGAATACTTTGGATTACTTGATATTGTCGTGCTTTTTAAAACAGTATGAATGTAACAACCACATCCTGAAAATTCATGTTTGTTCTCTTCAAATTGTCTGTTGAGCCAAAGTCTCCATGAACAGACTTTTGTTTTACTGTAAAGTAGCAAAGACCAGGAAATCTTAACATGAGATGTTTTGTCCTGGTTTTAGTTCCTAGTTTAGTCCTGGTTTAGACCTGGTTTAGACTTAGTTTAGACCTGGTTTAGTCCCTAATTTAGCCCTGGTTTTAGTCTTAGTTTAGTTTAGTCCTGGTTTAGACTTAGTTTAGACCTGGTTTAGTCCTGGACTGGTTTAGTCCTGGTTTTAGTCCTGGTTTAGACCTGGTTCAGCCCTAGTTTAGTCCTGGTTTTAGTCCTGGTTTAGTCCTGGTTTTAGTCTTAGTTTAGTTCTGGTTTAGTCCTGGTTTAGACTTAGTTTAGACCTGGTTTAGTCCTGGACTAGATTAGACCTGGTTCAGCCCTAGTTTAGTCCTGGTTTTAGTCCTAGTTTAGTCCTGGTTTTAGTCCTGGTTTAGACCTGGTTTAGCCCTAGTTTAGTCCTGGTTTAGACCTGGTTCAGACCTAGTTTAGTCCTGGTTTTAGTCCTGGTTTAGTCCTGGTTTTAGTCTTAGTTTAGTTCTGGTTTAGTCCTGGTTTAGACTTAGTTTAGACCTGGTTTAGTCCTGGACTAGTTTAGACCTGGTTCAGCCCTAGTT